GGGTTGCTTCTCCCAAATACAATGTGGGTGCTAGGCATCTGGAGTGGGATAGCAGCACATTGATGCTGCTTTGGTAGTAGTACCTAGGCACCTCCATTCAGCCACTAGGCCAGCAGAAATGCAGTTGAATGACTGCATTCCTTCAGGGATTCAGCTGGACGCAGCGAGCTAAAAAATGACTTCTGCTACCTCTTTGCCTTCAGCCCTAGAATGCTCTTTTTCTCATAAACATTGTTTGATGCTGTTCTGGAACCACTCCTTCAATTTATTGATTCCCCCCCCCTACCCCGCCGGTAGATGTGGACATCTCCGCTGCTATACTTTGCTTTTTAAGTTACAGTCTCCTTTTATGGTCAGATTAGCTTCAGAAGTGAATCCATAGTTATGGATAGAACAGCATCAACTCTAAAGAGGCTATTTTATGACAGGTTATCAAGAGACTGTAATGATGTGATTTACAGCTTCTGTAGAATTTTTTAAAAATATTTTTCATGACTGTTTTGCCAGCTTGTTTCAGTTCATATGGTAAATTAACATTAAATTAAATAATATGCTTATAAACAGAACACTTTTACACCGAACTGTCGCTGGAATACAAATCAATTTATGAGGTAGCAATCAGCTGACTCCCTTGCCTGCTTACACGTTGGAAAATGTATAGCTATGAGTTACACAAGTTTTGAACACTTAATGTATTTTCAAGGGAGTTCCAGGAGATAGCTGCTAGCTTGCTCTTCTGCAAGGTGATGACATTTAATAATCAGAGATAATAATCATGCCTGCATTATGTTGTGGAAATTAAAATTTGATGCAATCAGTAATACATCCACCAGTTAGCAAGACCGGTCTTCAGTACTATGTCTGTCAGTAAGACATGCACAATCTGAACTTTCAGTCCTTCACTGTAGGTTAATTTGCTCAAGCAGTCCTCGTAGGACTACGTAATTAGTGAAGTTACTCACCAGTTAGACAGCACTGGGTTCTCTTGCTTTGCCTTTATCCTGTTCTAAAGCTTCTGTAAAAACTTGGAGGTCAAGGACCACGGAAATCTTAATGTAGCATCTTGTAGGTACTGCACTCCCAGTGCAGCTGAACCAGAAGCCTTTTCTCTATGAAGTGAATATTCCTGATAAGTTTGCTGTCAGAAACAGCAAAATATGTGGGCTTACCTAGGAATGTGTTTAGAAGGACTGTTGCACCTAACTTCAGAAAGCAGCCTTCATGAGCTTGTTAACACAAGTATTTCAGAGATGGCTACATAAACGAGGGTTGGACTGGTGGAATGAACGGAGACAGGCAGGGCGGTGCCTAACATACCCTCTTCCTGGCTGGATGTGCTTTGCTGTGCCTTTCAGGATTGCCTTCCCAATTTATAACTCGCTGGCGCTGTGTTTTGCCTGAAAGCAGTGTCCTCCATCCCTTTGCACACTGATCCAAAGAGAGGTATTGCCCTGTTCCCAAAGAGTTACGGTCTTTTTACTGTGGCTGTTCCCTGGGGTTAAAGGTTGAAGGTCCTCTTAATAATGCTCCACCAAACTGGGCTGGTTTTAATTCAGCATTTGAGTGAAACTGTTGAAGAGTAGAGTGAAAAAAATAGTGAGGAATATCTTTTCTTCCTCTAGGAAATATACCATCCATACATCCCTTTCTAGAGCTGATCTGCAGGGATTTAGAGTCTGTCCACTTCAACAAACGAATGACTTCTACTTAACCACCAACATCCTGCTCCACCACTGACTTACCTGTAGTTGAGCAAATCACCCCAACCCAGCTGTGCACCTGAAGAACTTGGCACATTATAGTCCAGATTTTACACTAAGATTTAGAAGCGACTGCTGTTTGCCTGCAGCATAACTTGAGGTTATGCTTGTATCTGTAAATAATAACGCACAGAATCAAGTAACTTTCAATCAGGTCTTAACAGCTACATCTTCTCCTTCACAAATGATATATTGGATAAATTAAACTTTAAATATACCATGCTCAGAAACGCTCTGTTGTCCTTACCTTGTCACCACTGAAGGCAGTGGCCATTTTAATGTTTAAATTACTGTGACAGTAGTAAGGTCAGTGATGATGAGTTAAGAATACTACTATAAAACATCAGTATTCACATTAAAAACAAACAATAAAAACTTACAGAGAGAACATCTATAAATATTCAGTAAGACTTTGGATAACTAGAATGAAACTTCTCCAAAATTTGCATTTTCTCTAAATCTTTGTTACCTCGCGTTTTTTCCAGCAGTGTTAAAATAATTCATTGTTTGTGATAAGACTTGTATTACTTTATAATTTCAGATTCTGTTAGTTTTGGATGCCTGAAATGTAATATATCTCTTTTCTGGAATGCTAAATAGTGATCGGATGGATAATAGAGGACATGGAAACTAATATTCATATGGCATCTTTCAGAAGAGAAATTTTCTTTTAAGAACCTTAGATGAGTTTTCAGTCTATATAATATCTGAAGACAATCTTGCAGATCTCTTTTTCCTTGGGTGTTCTCTTAGGGCAAATGATGAGGAATTGAGAGAAATACAGAACTGAACATGATGGCCAGAAACACCATTACTGTCACTGTGTTGTATACAGAATTTTACCATCAAGCTATGCAATTTTAACAGCTGATAAATAATGTAAAGAAAATTATGCAAAGCAGAAGAGAAAAAAACATTCTAAAGACAAGTAACAATTCCACAATTTGACTTAGCTTTAAATCTAATTTCATGTTTTTTGCTGGCCTTAACTTCATCCTTAATTCACATCTTGTCAGTGTGTGTTACAGCTCGCCAAACTTATTGAAAGATCTATCATATTGTAACAAAAGATGCTGACTGCTTTGGAATAATTCCATAAATGAATTGAAAAGCCCAAAATTTTGCTCAGTAGTGAGTAATAAAAATGGCTTAAATTGGGAGCAAAGCAGGCTTTGTTTTAGAAGCAGACTGAGCAACAATATTCATTTAAAATGCAACAAAGTCATCTATGATTATAAGAATGCCAACTGTATGGCTTAGTAAATTTTGCTTTGAGAGAAGGAAAGAGGCAGTGCAGATCTCACTGAAATAGCTGCATATGAAAGGGTAATCTATGGATAGGAGAATAAATTAGAAGAATTCAAAGCAAACTGAAAACAATTTTTGAACCGTATCACAAGGGAGGCCAAGGATTAAGAGTTTTTAGGGGAAGGGAAAAACAGAAGAGATGCATAAAACTCGTAGGTCTGTAGAGAAACACAGAATCCCTTTTCTGTGTGGTCACAGGTAGATTCAGTTTATTTTCACTATTTTACTTTGAACTTTTGAATGGGAGGGAGTAAATGAGAGAACAAGAGCCAAAAAGATGTTTGCATTTAAACTAAATGTTAGTTAATTCTGTAGTTGAAAAGATTCATATATAATTAAAAATACAATGGCCTGCCTCTCTCTCTTGCATTAGTGTTTACGAATTACTCTTGTAATCCTATAGTAAATTCAGAAGTGTAATAGCTAGGACTATATGTCACTAAATCATGCAGATGAGTGTCTAATAGAGTCTTGTATTCAAATTGTAACAGTTACATGCCAGGGTGGAAATAGTATATGTAATTCAGTATTTCTGCAAAATAGAAACAATTCTAAGGCAGGTATACACATTGTTCCCTTATGATACAGTTATCAGAGATCCTCTGATGCCTATCCTCTGTTGGAATACTTTTGGAAAGCATCAGCCTTTGCTGGTACAAAGAAAAGCAGTTGAGAGGACCTACTGTTCACTAGCTAACATTTTAGTCTGGGAGTTCAAACCAGAAAATTCTCATTTAAAACCTGTGAGAGGCTGACGGTGGAACTCCATTATTATCACAGAATTGTTTAGGTTGGAAGGGACCTCTGGAGATCATCTAGTCCAACCTCCCTGCTCAAGCAGGGACCTCTAGAGCAGTTTGCCCAGGATCACATCCAGACGGGTTTTGAATATCTCCAGCGAAGGAGACTCCTCCACCTCTCTGGGCAACCTGTTCCAATGCTCTGTCACCCTCACAGTGAAGAAGTTTTTCCTCAGGTTCAGATGGAACTGCCTGTGGTGCTGATACTATGTCCAATATTTTTGTTGAACTGTTTTTGATGGAAAATAGGATTTTTGACTAAATTAAAATGGGCAAGAAATGACAAAATTTTGTACATAAAACCTTGGTTTAACTGAAATACTTAAAACTGAGGAATTGCAGAAAAGGTAACAGATTGCATCATGAAAATTATAGTATTGGACCATATGTTCCCAGTTTCCTCTAGGAGATAAAATTTCTATGATCTGGGGTTCCTGGGACATACCAGGGAAGAAAACTGTGCATTTAAATGATTCCTTACAGGAGCCAGGTAATGACTAGGTAGTATCACATTATTCTTTGGGCTGAAAGATGTTTTCAACATTGTAATGCTACAATTCCTGTACTGAGAGCTGCCCCAAGTTTCCCAAAATAATTGCAATTCCAAAGTAATAAATAATGAGTCACCTGTTTAAGTAAAAACCATAAAGCCAAATTTTTTCTTGTCTCCAAACTTTAAATAATATAAAGGAAAAAATTCCCCCTTTCTGACTGCATCAGACTTTTCCTGAGGCAGCATGAAATGATTTCATTGCTCAAAGCTGTGGGCTGGCCTGCACGGTTTCTAGAGTCCCTTTGCAAAAATCCATGTGGATCCAATCTCTCAGACTATTTCCCTCTAATTTACCAGCTCTTGCTATTTCCTAACTTTGCAGCATTTTTGTACGGAAACTGGTATTAATTATTGTTTCCTTAACTTGCATCTCCTAGATTGACATTTCAGGTCTCTTGGGAGGAAGAGGTTCTTGCTAACCCAGGAAATTGTTAAATGTTTTCCTGGCAAAATCTCTAGTCTTCCCTTAAAGAAGACATAAGCTTCTTCCTTTACACTAATGAAATCCCATCCAGCTATATTCTAGTACCTCTATCTATTCATTACACCAGCTGAAGACACAAAGTGTCCATACTCTACCTGTTTAGTTCTCATTTTGGAATCTGGTGACAGGTTGTTGTAGGTGTAATGGGCTTGTGTGACTCCACAGAAAAGGACTGCAACAATACCTGTAATTCAAAGAAAAGCCAGAGTTAGCTGTTTCTATTTTCTTCCTTAGGTTTGTCAGAGGGCTGCATAAAAAAGCTAATTAAACTGTATTAAAAGCATTTTGTACCAAAAGAACTCTAAAAAAATGTTTTACAAGAGCACATTCCAAACGAGCTAATTTTTTTCCTTTGCTAAAAAACACTGAGGTCTTGTATCTTCTGCCTGCTCCGTCACGTGTTTCCACTGTCGTGCATTTGTCCTGAGTGTGTAGTACAGTCTGTTTGAATTAATGCGTAGTGACTTCTGATCATAGTCTAATTGATAGTTAACCAAGACTACAACATAAATGTAATATAAAGAACTTCAGGCTACAGGAAAATTCTGGCAGTGACTGGATAGGAAAGGGAAAAAATAATGTTTTGGTTTGCAAGCACTTGGTGCTTAATGACTACAATAGGGGAAAGCCATTTCAGTCTATGCCTAACTCAGAGCCTGGTCGTAAGCAATGTATAACAATCTGCAAGGCAGATGTGTATTGCTTAAAAATGATGCTCTTGTAGGTGCAAGCTGTATTGCCCAGACTGACTGGGTCAAGGACTGTAGTTGTGTGGCAGTAATTATGTCCCCCAGCCTGTGGAAGGTCATGAGGAGCAGGATTGCCAGGAATCTAATAACGTTATATTGTGGCAATATCTTTTTATTTTTGCATATTTCCTCCCCAGCCCTGGTCCTGTTTCTAACTCACTGGGACTGTTGAGTAACCTGATTGCAATGCAGCGTTATAATTAAAGTAGTTGGAAAAAACTGTAACTCCAATTTCCTGTCAGCCCTGGACTCAGATAAAGCAGAAGGAACCCACAGAGGGAGAAAATAGAAAGTCAAAAATAAGTGTGCACCAGTGACCATACGTAAATGCCCAGGCAGGAAGAAAGCTCTGCGTTTGTCTTCTGTAAACTTGGGGCATGTCTATGCTGATAATTATTCACAAAACAGCTCAGGGCTTGTTTGTGTCCATTCCAATCATCTTTCTGCTGAAAACCTCCGCACACGCGTTTCCTGAAGTGTGTGGCGCATCCAAGCTCTGATCAGCGTCTAGGCGTACACCCGCGTCTGCAGCAACTGCTTTTGTGCCAAGCCAGAGTGCAGCACGACCACGGCATGCCTGTGATCTCCAGGACACAAATGCAGCCTGTTTTCCACCATCCAGCCCACAGTGCCTTCGTTCTTGTGCCTTCCAGCCCTTCTGCTTGCTACATCCTCTTAATTTACAACATGTGCTACTTGGCATTGAAGTTCTGCTTCCTCCTGGACAGCTCTGCAAATTGTTAGCTAACCTCTCTTTTGTCTCGTAGGCTGCTGACACGTACTGAAATAATGCTCATGAATCTGGATAAACACATTGAGGGAACAAAGCAAGGAAAAAGATACCAGTCCAATGTTTATGGGCAATATTTATGACTGCTGTGTGACTGTGCAGCAGCTTTCTAGGCTTTCTTTGGGTTAAACTGTCATGAACTCCATCATACAAACTGTTCTGCTGGAAGTGAAGAGTATGAACTCGAACTGGGAAAATGATCCAGCCCTGTGCCTTCAGTGCTGGGCTCGAGGCTGCGCCAGGCTTCCTCCAGCTTGCCCGGGATGGTGGCTCTCGAGTTTACAAAGGCCCAGCACAAATAGGTTCGTAGGGGCGCACAATCTGCAGTGCTGCACGCTTCAGCGTACTGCAAGACCAATGTAAAACTATCTGCCACTGCCAAAGGATTAATAGAAGCAAGCCAGGCTTAATACAGCTGCAGGGGCAAACGGGCTGTAATGTTGGAACACGGGTTAGGTGATAGTACTGGTGCCTGCACAGGTTTTTATCAAAAAACCTCTAAATGTTTGAAATTTAGCACCCCATGGCAGGTGGAATATCCCTTGTGCCGAAAGCAAGGTATAGATGGCAAAGAAACATTTAGAAGATGCTGGAAGTACTTCATTTGGGGAAGCAGACCATCAACATATTGCAGTTCAAATATTTGTTAGACCTTTAGGTCTTTCTCAAGTTTCCCATTCTCCTTGCATTGCTAAACATGAAAATATTGTCTAATAACATCCAGCTTGCTGTACTTGCAAGCCGCTCTTGTTTCTGGGAAGAACTGAGGCCTGGCATTAATATGCCTTTGAGGGCAGGAAAAAGTGTGGAGTGAAAAAATGATGAGATGAATTTGGCACAAAGGATAACCACCACCAGAAAGCAAATGAAAAAGCAAACTTTTTTTCCCATACAGCGCTCTGGACATTTTTTTTTTTTTTTGCGTCTAGTTTCTCTTTATGTTGTAAATTTACTGGTATTTTCTACAGAACAGAGTGCAGCCAAGAGAAATTCCGCTGAGCTTTAACTGCTGTGTCTTTCTTTTTTAATATTTATTTTCTTCCCTCTACTTTGATATATGTTTTTTTTTCTACTCACAGTGAGGCTTTTCACTTAAGTAAATAATGTGGGTAGAAGTGAGATTGTCACTGCCTAAGTAAGTTCCTGGAAACTCATCTTTTTGTTGAGGTCTAACTGTTGTTTTAAATGTGTCAAAGTCTTTTTTTTTTTTTTTTGTCAGAAGCTGCATTTTATTATACAGAACTGATTTGGGGAGTTTTAAATTCTCATGGCTAATTAGCAGCATTAAAGATATGCAACGGTATGCTCAGACAATGAAATTTCAGGTAAAACATATGGCCAGTTGGTAATGTTGTTAAGTATCACTTAGCTTCAGGCTCAGGAACAAGAATGGAGGTAGCAGTTTCTGATTCACTTTCTTCTACATGAGTCATCCCCATGCCAAGTCTTGCAATTTTTAAATTGGCTGTTACATTCAAATATGCTTATAAAACGTCTTTATGCCTGCTAAGAACCTGTTAACTATGGGCAGAATAGTGAGAAAACTGAGATAGTGATGTGAAATAAAATGGACTGATCTTACAGTGAAAGAAATCTGATGTTAAAATAGGAATAATGATTTGTACCATGCAATTATGTAAGTGTAAAACCCCAAATTTTTGAAAGAACCTTGTTTCCAGGGAATGCTGGGGGGAATGCAATGGAATATTAGCATTGCTACAATTGAAGGCTTACTATGTACCAGCCTTGCTGCTAACAATGAAATCTTCATTCAAAAGCTCAGAGAAAATTGTTGTCATGAATTTCCTTAAAAACGATTACCTAGGAGTAGAGACCAGTTACGTATTAATGCAACTACAAAGGAAAGAGGGGAAAAAAACCATTAAAAATGGATTTTGAAGACAGCTAGGTAGCAAAATACAATCTAAACAGAATGCTATCTGGACATAAATTGGGTTATAAGTTTTTCTAAGCTTTCTTCATATAACTGTCCAGTCTTCTGACAGCATTCACTTTGACTCCAGATTGCCATAATGGACATAGCATATGTCAAAAACAACTTGATTCATTGTTTCTTTTCTCATTAAAACCTGAAGAAACCCTCAGGTGCTGGAGCGAAAAATGAATGACAATCAGTTCTCACTAAACCAATACATAAACTTTTCGTTTTTCCAAAAACAAATCTGCTAATACTGGAATTGTAAAGAGAAAGTATGCGTTAAGTGCAGTAAGGCAGAAAAGGTGAGATGATCTTTTTAACCAATCCTTAGTGCTCAGTGCTTTAATTGCAGGATGCTAGAGACGGGCTCACTTTTTCAGTACTGTTATATTGCTTCTTTTTTAAGCAGTGAAGTTAGCAATTACTGAGAGATTTAGTAGTGCAGTTGCTGAAACACAATGCTAACTTAAAGTGAACCGGAGAAAAACAGAAGAAATGGGAGATAAGTTGTTGAGTGCAATACAGAAGCTTTTCTTTAGATGCAAAATTACTGGAAAATGTCATTATTAGAAATATGAAAAATGAGAAACCTCACAATAAAATGCTGTTAGTCATACAAACCTGTTAGCAAAGATTCAGCTGGAGCTTAATCTCTTTGATAGTGTGTTGTAAGAAATAAAAGCCTCCCACTGTATTTGATTTTTCACTCCCTATATAGCATGCAGAGAAATAGTTACAGTTTGCTAGCTGTTAGTACAATTAAAGAAATTATTCCTCCATTTGTTTAGCTTCATACTTGTAGTTGGAGTTTTTCTCAGGAAAACGGTAGTAATGTCCAAATATAATATAGGACATAGGAGTAACATATCTTAAAAAGTATTATTACTGATGGTGTGAACAATAATTTATAAATATTAGTTTAAAAATGATTCCTGTATTTTGAGAGAAAGAGAACAAATGTCCTTGATGGATCATTTCACAGATAGGCAAATGCAAATGTGCCCTTGCTTTTCAATATCTGGAAGAAAAAATGTTTGCCTTTTGTCAGAGAAGGGCAGCATGAGTAGCGTGCTTTTAATGCAAACCTGGAAGTGACTGGCCACAATTGAAACTTCAGAAATTGCTAATCCAAGAGAAAAAACTGACATTGTGTCTCCAATTGTCAAGTCCTTCCTGGTGAGAAAAGGCATTTAGAAAAAAAAATAGCTGTACCTTCTGGGGAAGCAAAGGAGTAAGTGATTGGATAAAATACATAGCTTCATGTGGAAATATCTGTAGGTAAACTGATTGGTTTTCACGCCTAAGTTGCAGAGCTTCGTGTCTCTGTAACGATGCACGATGCACGGCAAATGTCACAATCCAATAAACAAGAGGAACAAATCTTGCATCAACGGCAATGAAATGTGGATAAAAGAGATCAATGAGCATTGGATAATAGAAAAATCATTTAAATCAACTAGCATTTAGTTTGGGATCATATTTATGTCAGAATATCCGCAGGAAGTCCACTGGGCCTATCCAGCGCAGACTGAATGTGTGAGGGGCATGAAATGAGGCACTGCCTTTGCATCACATCGCTGCAGTGATAAGGCAGTCAAAATCCACAGCACTACATCCCTATTCAGTCTGTTTTCACTGCGGGGCTGAAGTTTGACTAATCATTTTCTTGATACTGAAGTAGAGATTTAAGGCTTCTTTCACCAGACCTGCACCAGTGCAGAGCCAAAGCCTGGTGCTTTGTTTGTGAAGCTTTCATCTCTGGAGTCGTCTTAGGTGGATTTTATGTTGAAGTGATAGAAAGCAACAAAACAGAGGTGAGGGAATGTTTAGGCCCTCATTTGAGGACTGAGCATGGAGACTGCACCTGTTTGTTCAAGTGAGACCTGAGCTTCAGCGTTGTACTTTTGTAACCTCGCGAGTGACTGCGTGCCGTTTTGGTTGGAATTCCTACGGTGAGACGTGCTAGCTCTGATTCTAGACAAGCTAAGAGGGTTAATTTATCCTGATCCTGTTCACTGGCTGCCACAGGACTCCAAAATTAACGTGGACACTTATCCTCTGCCAAGATATCCGGGCCCGATATTATGCAACTGATCACTGATTTCAGCCTAATGTCGTGCTAGAATACGTTCTTTGCTCTAAAAACAAACTCTCCTGTTCCCTTATTGTCTTAAAAGGCGATTCCTACGTTAGCCAGAGTCAAGCACAGCTTAAAGTATGTGCACAGGATGGTGCACTGCTGCGAGCGCGAATGGGGTAGCTGAAGCTGTACAGTTTTGGATCTGACGCGTATAGGCTAAAGCAGGGTCTAAAGCTCCCCTTGGAGCACCGTGTAGACCATCCAGAGCTATCTCTGAAGTCCTGCAGGCAGCTTATGGATTAGTAACTGTGGCAGACTCGCCCAGTCTCCATCTTTTTCTGCACAGCAGTGCAAATGCCATTGTGTGCTGGGCTCTGGAAACTGGTAAAGGAACAAACATCACCTCTAACCTTCCCTCTGACTTTCTTTCCTTCTTTCTGAGCTGTCCTACTTCTCCGCTTCATAGCACAGGTCTTCTGTTTGACATGTAAAATCAGAGTTTGAAAGTGTTTTAAAAAATCCTTCTATAGGGACCTAGGCAACTGTCAGAGCATCTTTCATCCTGCTCAGCAGACACTGTGCATCAGGGAAGTAATTTTGATGCTTTTACATTGATTAATTCCATATGACTTAGAAGTATGTATTAAATGAATACATACAAGCAAATAGATTCACATAGCTATGTTTGAGTGCGTTTTTGCAGATATATTAGTTTTGGTTTATTCGAATATCGAGTTAGCTCAAACAGCTGTAGATAGAGGGCGTTACTTGGGTGACTATTAAATGCCCATGTATACCATGGAATCATAGACTAATGACTGAGTGTTCAGTTAAAAATTAATGAATTTAGTAATTATAAAGCAAGAGAACAAGCAATTAATAAGAAAGAACATTATATTACAAGTTGTACTTTCCTCTTTTATTTTGACAAGTGTTTAATTTCAGGTTTTTATTATTTTTCTTCTGTAGCCTACTAGTAAATATTCTGCAATGAAGTTTGGAAAATTAATGCAGATATACTAACACTGACCTTACTATAGCATTCTCTTATGGACACTTTGCTAAACAGTCAGGAAAATTATAACATGTACAAATTAGATTATACTGTGTAAGAATCAGTTTATCATGCATATATCACAACTTGAAGAGATAGCTATATTATCAAAATCCATTGTATTGGTTTATAATTTACAGTTACCAGCATAACAGTAATTGTGTACTCATTACAAAGTCTTTGATATGCTGGTTTGATCATATCCACTCCTCAGCCATGATGTGGCCCATGCATTGTGTGTTATCATGGGATATCTTGAGGTAGAGGAATGAAATAGTTTGTAAAATGCTGACCTGTGCTAATATCCCTTCACATTTTATTAAAAAAAAATCTACAAGCTACACAGTGAGCTCTACTACTTACAATACATACACAAAACATATTTTAGCCCTTCATGAATTATGACATACCTCAGAATTAGACTTCAAAAAGGGCTTTGGGATGGAGGAGCTAGTGTGGAAATCATTATAAGAATGAAATTATTTTGCAGTTGCATTATTTAATCGCTACAGGGAAATACTGATGTCTAATGTTAATCCTTTGAAGTTTGTTTAGAAGGAATGAACAGAGGAAACAATATCTGAGGAGCATGACAATAGTAACATAAACGTACAATGGATCAAATTAATTTTTGAAGCAATCTATCGAAATCAAAGACTACTTTAAGCTAGGAATTCAGTTCATTGAATGGACGGGTCCACAGTGGGCATAGCATGGTTATAATGCTGTCTTGGTTCTAATGATTGTTTTTAAGGTCAGACACACTTGATTGTAAAATCAGATGATGTATGCATTAAGTAAGATAAAAGACAAAGCAAGTAAGCTGTAGAAGACTGAAAATGGCAGTGAATAGATGAACAGCTGGGTGTGTTGTGAAAGAAGATGAGCTTCCCCCAGGTCCCCTTCGCCTCCTGCATCAGGTGCTTCCTGCATCACGTACCCTGTTTTGGAGGCTGCACGCATTAACTACATTTTACATAGATTCCATTAGCATTTATATGAGAAAACAAAGCTATCTGGAATCTATACCTCCAACAGCAGCTAAGTCAACTGAAAATACATTAACCAATACAGTAATTTTAGTGCTAAATGGGAAGTTTAAAATCGTCCTTAGAAAGGAGGAGAATTAGAGCTATTTCAGATGAGATCAGGATAAAATGAAAAGAACATCAAAATTTGTTAAATCAAACAACTGAAAATATCCACCCCAAAGTGTAATGTCAATGAAGTACTAATAAAGCCACTGTATTTAGAAAACACAGCTTTGAACTTTTGAAGCTACAAGAAAGGCTCCATGAGGTTTTTCACTCTAACAGCTTCTGACAAAAGCCTTTCACAGAAACAAAAAGACAAAGGCTCAGTCCTGCTGATAAAACTTTCATGATTAAACTTTGCCTCCTCACAACGCTGTAATTAAAGGATTTCCATCTGAAACTCAGAACATGCTTATGAAAAAAAGGCTAATGACAGACCTAAAATGGCTTAGTATGTTTTAGTTGCAATTTGTGTGTGGGCAGAGCAATTCTCTTTTATATGTCTATACCAATTCCCTTATTTATAAGAAATAGCTTAATTTCCCTGCAATTTACTGTTTTTTTCTTTTCTTTAATTGGATCTTGACTTTGTTTACCACTCCCTTTCTGGCCGTTTAAAGTAGCTTACCATGGTGACAATAAAAACCATCTGTGCTGTTCAATAATTAAGTCTTTATTTCAGATATTTTTATATATTGTAAAAGAAAAGAAAAATGAAACCTTAATCCTCAGTGACTAATGGAAGAGACTACAGTGTCTGTCACCACACTCCTAGTATGCAAAAAAGACATATGCCAATTATTTTTGTCTGGATAGACAGTCTGTTCCTTTTCCCAGGAAATGGAAATTACCTCTGGTGCTGCAGTGCCTGAAGTGCGCAGCAGCCGTATTAATGTTTCCCTTCCGAATCCACTTTTTGGATATAGCTTACCTATTTTGCATTTGTTTCTGGAGGAAACATAACATCTTTGTTCTTAGCTGGAAAGTATTTTAAAACAGCCTTTCCTTGGAAGTCGTTGGTTTGGGAAATCATTGCCTCCAGCTGAAGGCAAGTGTTTAACAATCATCTTTGCATTTTCATGTAGTAGGCAAAGTCACATTTTTAAGAGCCATTAAGCATAAAGACACAAAATGGAGTTTTATTTCAACTGATATCTCATTTTTTCCATGTGATAGAATATGACCTATCTGTTCAACTCATGTCCTGCTCTTGTTATTTGTCATTCTGAAGATTTTAGCATGAAGCAGGACAAAAAAGTTATATATTTAATAAAGCAAAGGTGTCTGAAGGTGCAAATGTTAATACTCATTCAGAAATCATTTGATTGTGTGGCTAATACTAAGAAAAGGTAACATGATGGTGCCATCAAAGGCGGTAGAAATGTATCCGTCAGCTTCAGAGGGGCCAGGATTTCCTTAGTTTCTTTGGTCTGGAAGACTTTTCAATGCTAATGCTTAAGTTAAATTTAGTTCTTGATCAATTTTGCAAACAAAATGGAATGGGCTGCATTAATGCATGCTCTGTTAAGCAGTTTTCATGACTCTCTCTGACATTAATTAGAGCACTAGATTTCAGATGTGGCAGCATCAAGAACATTAAAATGATCAGGCTATTACTTGGTTTTTTCTTTCAAATCACACTAACAGGTTGCAATACATTATTATCTGGGTAAACTCTGTCCATTACAGTTTTTGCCTCTTTATGTGCTAAAAAGCAGTCCCTGCATATATATTGGACTGTGAGTGCACAACTCCTTTCTTAGCGTTAACAAAGAAGCAATTAGCTCATATGTGACTTTCTACCTGTCACTGGGACATGACTGTCTGGGTTGCAAGTGGTGCTTATATAGGTGCCCTGAACAAATCAAAATTTTTTTCAGAAAAATCCAGAGGTGGCTGCAGCCCACTCTGATGTTGAGCCTGTCCTCTGGTCACTGGTGACTGAGGAAAAGGAGGAAGGATGGCAGGACAATGCAGAGAGAGGAGCACACAGTCCCTGACAGTCCTGTAGCGTGCTATACTTCGTTCCTCGTGCTTGCGTTCATCCTTGGTCATATAGTTGGAAGGAAAACGTAGAGCTGTGCTCAGTGTATGCGTTCTCGGTTCTATAGTTGAACACAGGGACTAATGCTAAAGGGACAATATAGGGGGCAAGGGAAGAAAGACTAAGCGCTTCAGCCTGGTCTAAACTTTTGTCTGGAAGAAATAGTCAATGTCGCTACAGATTTGTTTTTAAAGATGAAAGTATCTCCAATACAGCAACTGGCTTCTGGAAGCTTTGTATAACATGTCACACCCAAAATAATGCCAGTTACCCACACAAGAAATGCCAAAAAATGGCATTTTCCCCCACTAGAACTATATTGTAAAGCTCCTTTTATTCAATGAAATGCAATGCTTACCTGTAAGACCAGCAGCTTCTGCTGATAAGAAGGCACTCCAAGATAGGAGGAAAAACAGACCTGTCTCCAACATGGGGAACTCGCACAGCTTTGTAAATTTTGTCAAGTGCTGAAAGATTGCTAAGGAAAAACAAAAAGCAACTATTTTGTAAGTTAAAATTGCCCCTAACCTGATAAAGGATGATAGAAAGAGAGATCCCCCACAGTATACATCTATGCAAGTTGAATTCTGGAAAAGCTGCACTGCTGCTAAATTATTTCAAACAAAGATGAAAATCCAGCATAGCTTTTAAACAGGTGAATTCTACAAACCTACCATTTAAAGCTACATATGTACTCGTTTGTTTTCTGGGCTAATGCCTAATTGGTTGCATTTTAGATTCTTTTGCCAGTATTTGTTTATATCAGATATTCCTGCCTACTTACTGCTGCACGTAACTGAATTATACACATGAACCTCGTATCAAAAGAAATGTGAAAAAGTGAAAAAACAAATAGCATTCCAAAAATCAAAGGCCCAAGGGCCTTATTATTTCTGCAAAGTGGAAGATCAGTTCAATTCTGTAGCCTGGAATTATTGAAATTATTGCTAGGAATATAATCAGTGCTTTAGTCTCTCAAGTGCATCATATTAAAAAAAAATGGTTAACTCATTTTGCCTAGTTCCACACTGACTAGCATTTTGTTTAACATTTACAACAATGCAAGGAGGATGAAAAAGGCTGCTCTTCCTTCTAAACAGTATTTTAAACAAAGAACCCTAAAATGCAATAAAAACTGCAGAGCAACAGATATACCATGTGTTTCTAGTTTAGGCAAATTGACTGACTTGATTCGTGGTCTACAGTTTGCCTTGTATTTCAGTATAAATGCTGCTAATCTGTAGCTCATAAATAAGACAAATGCACCGTTCATGCTTTAATCTCAAAACACTTGTACACAAATGTAATTATTTGCAAACAATAAAATAAAGAACAGAGTCTTGCCTAATGATAAAAAGAAATTTGCATAACATTTGGAGCTAGAGATGTTTATTTCTTTGTGGATTACGACAGATTAAATTTCCTGTCTATTTGCGATCTGATTGTTTGCAAAGTCTCAAATCCTCAGTGCAGAAGTTCAAGCTCAAAGTAAAGCTAGTCAGTCTCAGATACCACACAACCTTTCCAATATATATAGATTTTTCTCTCTGAAAACAAACAATAAAGGATATTAAAGCTGTCACAACAGCGTAAGAGGAGCCCATGGCAAATGATCCAGCGAAGATTCCCAGGAAATTTCCTACCGACTGGAAGAAAGCAGCGGCATCAAATGCATTAGGATTCTCCTTGGGACTGTAAATGGATATAGAGCTAAAAAGAAAACAAAGGGATTGGGGAAAGGAAGAGAAAAGGGAATAATGTATTCAATCACATTGTTATGATACTGGAAACAGTAACTAAAACCAGACTTTTTTAGGGATTCACAATGTACAACAAGGCTTCTCTGGGCTGATAGCAGATAGGAAAGCAGAGCAGATAGAGACTGGGGGAAAAATGGTTTATTTTCAAGGTATCACCCTGGAAATCAATAGTTTGCTGCCAGTCAGTAAACATTTTTATACTAGAAGTGCAGTAAAGAATATTGTTTCCAGGCCAACTAAATATTAAAAGGTGATAGATGTGTAAGAAATCTGCAGGGAAGATAGATAACTTTGAATTATTTATTGACCATATGTCTTCAGAGCAGTTATATATTCACAAAAATGCCTGATAAAAAGTGCAACTTTATGGCTGAGGCTCAAATGGGTGATACAAATCACAGTCTGTAGCAAATCTGCAGCAGCTATCTTGTCATAAAACACCTAGCAGTTCCCTTCTTGGTGTAACCCTTCATAAACAGCACGGAAAGAATATCAACAGCTAAAGACTATGAAACCTGGTGGAAAAACAGAATGGATGTTTTCCCACAGAAATAAACTGCTGCAGTTGTCAGAGGTCATCTCCTATATCCTGCCTCTGAGTACAGCCATTAAGAGTATTTTTGTATTGGAAATTATGCCACCAAAGGGGAGGCCGTACACTTAAATATTTTCGAGAGCATCTGGCTTGCTATTTGCTATGAGTCAGTTATTGCCTAGAATTCCAGTAATACCAAGTATGTATGCCTCTTTGCTCACTGAAACATTAAAATTAACAGATATGCAATAGCCCTAAGCCTCCCAAACACTAATTAAGTAACATTTCAGATTTTTGTGGTTCTGTTGCCTTCAGTACTGGAGGTCTTTTATATTCACTGTCAAAGAAAATCAACCGAGTTTGGCACTGGATTCCAGAAAGCAGCTTAGACTGGGGGAAAAGGATTGGTATTTTAAATATTAAAAATTTAGAATTTTTAAAATGTGTTGAATATTTTATGCTTTTGCATACTAAGAACGTGATCCTTGCAGTCTGATGTCTTCCATCTGGAGATGAGGCTTAGAGATGCAGCTCTGTACAGAGGATTTTCTAAACAACTGCATTCATTTAGGGAGCTCCAAACAATATGAAGAAAGGTGAAACTAGATCTCATGCTTTCAGTCTGTAAAAAGGCAGAAGGATTCTTAAAGCCTGTGGTGAAAACTAAATATGAACAGCAAATACTTTTAACAAGAGGATTTACTAAATACCAAGATCTGCTATCTTTACTCAAGCTGATTAGGACTGCCATAAAAATAGTGAGATAATTTTTAATGGAAAGTGCTATTAATATGGGTACATAAAATATTGTTCCTAGTGGTAATGCTACTTGACAACGTGTTGCTGTTTAGATTTTCAGTCTTCTTTCAACTGTGGTTATCCTAGACCAGGGGCCGGTCATAATTCTTTGCTTCTCTTGCCCCCAGTGACTCTGAAATGTTTGTCATCTCTGGCCTACACAGCTTCTGTTCTTTTAAACCCCGTATGAAGTAAAGGACTATATTGAACCACAGCTACATCCTCTCAACAGAGAGAATAGCTTTCTCTATGAAAGAAAATCCTGTCAGCTATGATACCTAGGGAGGACTTCAGTTTAGTTAGTTAGTTAGAGTTGAAACTGTTGTGTTAATATAACCAGAAACACTAAATCTAAACATTTTAGGGATGTCTTGACAGTAGAGCAACCACACGCTTCCCTCGGATAAGTATACAGAGACTGCAGCTGCTAACGTGTTGCTTAGTGACCTATAAATCAGTCACTGATCTTTTGTGTCACTGGTGCTGACATAAGTGGTGAATTCAACGAGGTGAACCTGACAACGTCCTGAAATCAAAGAAAACTGTTCTATTATACCGACTATTGAGTTTCTCTGCCTGCAAAAGGCATGCTCAATGATAAAAAGTAACACTCAAAAAAAATCTTGATGTGGAGTGAAAGTTCACTAGTCAAATTTCAGCGATAGCCATTAACTTTAAGGCAAGAAAAGATGACTCTGTTAAAACCAGTTAGAGCTCTAATACAACCTCCAATTTACTAACAGCTTTCAGATGTGGAGAAAAGTAGAACAAAACATCCTATTTTTGATTAAGCTATTTCAGTAACAAATATAGAGTGACTGTCATCTCACTAGGAGATTTTTCTACTAAATATGCCCCGTAAAATCACATTTTTTAAAACCACCATAAAACAACACATGCTCCTTATGTCAGCTGTGGTTTCTGGTCTAGATCTTCCCAGAATTAAGGTTTCCCATCTACATTTTTTTCCTGCAGCTCAAAGAGTATTTAGTTCTATTTTTCATTAGGCCTTATTCTACACTGCATCTATTATTTCTTTTTCTGAATGTGTTTCTTCTTTAATGCTGTCTTTTAACCCTTGTAAGCATCTAAAATATGTGCTAATTTACTTGATAATTTTTCTGTATAAATTGTAGTTTAATAGAACAGGATTTTATTATTTTTATCTCAGTTCCTCCTGTGAGGCCAATTATTTGACATAAAAGCCAAAACATAAACACTGGACAGAATCATAATTAAACTTAGGGTGCCGCTACTCTTTTTCCTCCTCCTCAGAGAGCCATTAAGGAAACATGCTGGCATGACTTTCCATTTCTGCTAGTCTGCTTTCTGTGACTGATACAAAAAGGGGTGACCTCAATTCATTAAGGAGCAGTGTGTGAGAGTTTGATATTAGATTTGGAAATGTGTTTAGTTTTTAAATATTAGAGATTTTTCTATTTGTTGAACTAGCATAGGAACAAAATGGGGTATTTCTGTAAATTTCTATCAGAAATGGACTAAGCCAATCCTGAAAACGAAAGGGAATAGAAAGTTATCTTCAGAGATTGGTAAGCAGAACTAAGGACAAAGCTATGATTTGTTGACTACTGATAATGAGATACAGGAGAGATGGGGTGAAAGATTCTTGTTGGGTTGTGACTGAATGCTTGACAGACATGTCCCACAAACACCTCCCCCAGTCCCTGCTATACGTGTAAGTCTGGTAACTTAGGCTCTGCTTTCCCATCCTGGGGATGGAGTTAAGAATAATACCTAGTTTTCTCACTGGTTCTTATAAGGATTAGCTAATATTATCTATACTAGAAAACTATTCCACAAGTCTCTTTTTCTTCCCAGTTCTTCTGTGCTTCATTGGCCAAATAACAATGAACTGAGTGAAGTGCTTTCAAAAAGGAAATATAGACAATATTTGTTATGCAATAAATTGTGAGTTAGGATGGTATCTTTTGGTTGAGGCAAAAAGAAAGATTTCTTGTTTGTGCCACTTGTACCATCCTGATCATCCTTATCTTTTATAATCGTTTTAGGATGAAAACTCAGCATGATCCTATTTCAATGGGCTTATATGGGAACAGGATACCAAAGGTCCCCATGGCATGCTGCATTTAAACTGCTATTGTAACACAGAACAATCGTATTTCCAGTTACATCTCAACTGATTACTTCTTACATCCCCCATTTACCTCCAAGCAAGACCTCCGTATCTATTCATAAGACCCTTTTCTTGCTGTAGGATTTACCAGCCTGTAAATTTAGCGCAGTGATACTATTTTCCTTTTAAAAACGTTGGAGGAATTTAGGATTAGAGCAAAGATTTTTCAGGAAGTTGTGAAAGTTTTTTGAGGAAAGATCTGTAGATGAGATCAAAACTTGTATCCGACCTTTTGTTCCTGACAAGTCCTGGCAAGCCTAGGGCTAGTGTGGCAGCATCAAATAAAGAGATGCTAGTTAGTTGTAACTAATGGAACAGCACAAAAATCTTTGGTTTTGATATTAGCTAAAGCACATGTATCAGATGAGTTTTGGAAAAAGACAATATACTGAAGAAAATACACTCTAGCATCAGAAGGAGAACGTGTGCAAACAGCAGAAAATTATTAATAAAGCAATTTAGAATCAGTAATTAACAATAATCAATAAGCAAACTCTTTTATTCCTTCCTTTCTCCCTCTGTTTATGTGACCAACATGAAAACAAAAAGCTTGCAACCTTTGGAAAGGAATATTTCTTTCAAGTTGCTGGGTCAGAGGGCTTCCTACTGCCCAGGGGCCTCCTATGTGCCATATGCCACATAATACTGCAGAGAACAGAATCAGGGGTAATATAAAAAAATTCACACCTGAAAATACAGAAAGCTCAAATATTCCTTAAAATACCATCAGGGAATGAGGTGTGATCTCCCTCAAGGGATAAATAATTACAGCACTACATAGTGGCTTCATCAGCTGCTAATTAAGAAAAATAAAATAGGCCAGGAACAAAATATGCCGAGTTCAAGGTTGTTTTTAAGAAGAAAAGGAGGTCATTTTTTCCTGACACTATAATTATACAGCTATAGGTAGGCCACTGTACTGTGTTAGAAAACATGGACTTTGCAGAGAAGTAGATTGAACGGAACCATTTCTATTTCCACACAACTTTTTAGCTACGTAGTAGTTTTCCTAAGAGCATTGAGAGAAAATCCCAAAGACAGAACTGCAATTTCTGCAGGCTTTCAGGCCTTTTTTTATGCAGGTGTTTGAACTAGAAGCTGGATGTGAAAGTGCGTGCACAGCACCAGACACCTACACCTCCTCTTGCCCAGCCTTAGGTTAGTAAAGCTTTCCAGGCTTCCTCATAAAATACCTCCTCACACAGTAATAGTAAGTAGATGACCTATAAAAATGAACGCAAATGAGATAAGATTGGGATGTGAGTAGGCTAAGCCAACAAAAGCATATGTGAAGTAGAGAGGAGGTTTGCATGCCATTAAGGGAGGAGGGAGATGAGATACACCAGTGCAGGAATGATTTAGGGCTAGAAAAAGCCCTAGAATTGTAAGAGTAGCTTGAGGAGCATGTGCTCTAGATGAAAATTTCCAACAACAAACAAACTTACTGTATTTTTCAGTAAAA